TGGCTTTCGAGAGGAGGTTAGACAGTTTATGGTAGAACTCGTCCTTCACTTCATCCGAACTACAGTCAGTGGGTGCGTAAGCAGAGATTACAAAGAGACAACGGCGAGTCTCACTATTCCTTTTAGTTCTCACTGTGCCGTTCAGCCTCATAGCGCAGAGGCGACTATCAACTGGGATCCAGTCTAGTAGTGAGTTTTCTGCCCTGGTGCTTAATGCTATACCTACACCTGCAAGACCACGAGAGCTAGCTATCGAATCTCCAGAAACTCGAAGGGTGAATTTTGCAGATTCACCAGATTGGTCAGGAGAGGTCAGGTGAATAACCACACTTGGGTCCTGTATGCGTGTCTCACAAACACAGCACACATCCATGCCCGAGTTGCTAGAGTCTTTGCCAACGAAGCCTGTTGGCCAATTTGACGGAGGGTGCGGACATTGAAGGCTCCAATATGTAATTTGGAGCGTGGTTTAAGGAGACCAGGGATGCTGTTCTGTGGACTCAGATCGTTGTCGAAGGCTGCAGAGGTAGGAGAAATTGAAGATGATGCAGCATCATTAATTAAGAGACGTGAAGGAAGATTAGAAGGTAATGATGGAGGAGGAGGATAGCAGTCAGAAGAAACTTGGGTGCTGACAGAGTTGTGAGGGCGGTTGACACTTCCCGGCTGCCCACACCGTGGAAGGCTATTTCTTCTTAAGGTACCTGAAAGAGATTTGTGTGACCGCAGAGCCCATCGGACATCTGCTTGAGGCCTGTCACACCCAGCCTTTTGAGTATGATTATTTTGAATTTTTGTATTTTTGGGGCCGGATGGTCGAAAGGAAACGACAAGTGAACCAACACCGCCGGCCCGGCAGACCGTGGGTGGTGGAGTGTGTTATTTTTGGGGCCGACCTTTTCTAACCCCCCCTTCCACTGAGAAGGCAGCATCAGCATGGCACTGCTGGTCATCCAAGGGAAACACCTTACTGCTGTCACACCCCATCCAGCTAGCAGCAGTACGACTTCGCCCTCAGACCCCCATCATAGTGCAGCAATTTACACTACAACGGTAACTGCTTTTCGTCTAACCACTACCCAACAGACCTTTCTGGTATGGTAGGACCTCGAGGGAACAAGCGTTCCACCAGCATAGCTCGTTGGGTCATTGTGATATGCAAGCCCGACCACCACGTCAAGGTAGCAGCTATCTGTCGGGTTCTGCATAGATTAGTAGCCAAAGAAACACTATAAAAATGATTGGTGGTATATATGAGATCCGGATTTGACGTCTAATTTATGACAATCAACGCATATCTCCTGTCCTCATTCCCAACTTGTTTGGATTTAATTGAAGGTAGGAAATATGAGCTATTCTGTTTCAACTCAGTAGCTAAACGATAACATGCTCCCTGACAGACCTGGATTCTGTCATGATGCGGAGTTGCAAGAACCAACGAAAATAACTAACGACTGATAGTCAAGGGTTGAGACGATTCAACCCGAATGATTCGCAAAGAGAAATCAAAAGACTGAAAATCAGATGAGTTTATAGCATCTCGGATTGAAAACGTTTATTAGTGAAAAAGGGACCCTATTTATAGAGTTCACAGTAACCTTGAAAGGTAAGGGATAATTAGTACATTTAAAGAGGCAGGAGCCAAAAAGAACAATAGGCATTCCTAACAGGTCCGACCATGTGTGAAGTCACAGGTGTGCATTAATGAAAGAAACGCTAAAAATACAAAAAAAAACAACTCCAGTGGTTCGATACTTACTGACCTTCACATCGAATAGTCCTACTTATATGCGAATGACTCTGTCAATAAGTATTAAACAAACAGCACCAGCACCATTTAGTAAAACCCGCCAATGTATAACAAACTAATCTCTGAATGTAGAATAATTCGATAGTCTGCTTGAATTTTAAACTAACAAAAGTATTTCCTCGAATATATTTCATCTAATTGCTCCTTTCTAACTAGCTTTAATGTCAAATAATTGTAAAAGATACTCTGACGCACTCTGAAAACATATTCAACCTATCGTTAAAAGAGTTAACAACAAGACTATGAGAAGATATCACAGTAGACGGCAGTTGGCGCCTGAAGGTAAAACAGCGCATCATACCGGAATACGTAGGTTGAACAGAAAATTTTCATACTGGATGAAAGAACCTCCACCATCAAACTTACATCTGCTTTTCTATCCGACTCACGGTCAATAACATACAAACTAGATGATGTTTCACACAGTGAAACAGTATCATTTACTGGATAACGACGTTTCGGACACAATTTATTGTCCATACACACCTCAGGTATATATGGTACGAATACGGGGGGAGGGGCAAAGCCTGATGGTTGTGAGGATAGTTACTCAACGATGACATTGGGTGGCGGTTGCGCTATATCATGAGCTAACAGAAGTTGGAAATATGGACCACTGGATTCTGACCCAGTGGCTCAATGGTAACATGCTGTCCACGGAACCTGAAGGTGCCGGGGTTGTGGGTGCGCACTGCTGAAAAGTCCCATACTAGGACGAAACAGCTGTCCAGTGCTCCCAGGTTTTCTTTGTTCCTCCAACTGATGTCATTCTATGATGAATAACAACTTGAAATAAATTATGTCCGAAACGTCGTTATCCAGTAAATGATACTGTTCATTCCCTGCGTGACATTTCTAAAAAACAGACTAAAATGGAATTACAATCGACCACAGTCCAAGATATTAATGAAAATAAATGATGATCTAAAAACTACTGGTTGTTGTGCATTACTGCTCATCATATCGCTACGACAAACATTATTTAACTGCCACAGTTATTTTAATTTGAAAATATTGTACAAGAAGTAAATTTGTAAAAATATTACACTGTGAATTCCAAACTACAATAGAATAAAGTGATTGTTATTATTGTAATGAGCAGTTCATAGTTAATCAGAAAACCAAAATAGGAGTTCATAAACAAATTAATTGATATCAGATGTAACAGATTCAAAGAGTGATTGTCAACTACACTTCCAATAAAATATACCATAATGGTAGATCATGCATAATGCAGCAGAGACTTATCTGTGTACACACTTGAATTCCGACCAGTAAATTCACACTTTGCTCTATTTACCGATCTCTAAACAGTCAGATTCCATTACTAGCCATAAAACAATAAGTGTAGCTTATTGCCTAGTTCGCAAACCTCAATATGGTTGTTCACTTATATAGCATTTTATTATTTACATCAACAGAGAAAATACTGGAATAACTGCTGGTAGTTTAGTACTTGATTAAAGTGGTAATTGAATAGGTAAGCGATCATATAAGTCTTATCTAACCAGTAGATAAACTTAAAACAATCACTTACACACCAAAATAACATGATTAACAATTGTTAATCGAGTGAAAAGAAATAAGAATTACAAAATAGACAATAACGATGTTGCAGCCTTGACAGATGTATTGTAACTAACGCGGTTATACAAATATCAATTAATAGAGTAGAGAATGTGAGATATTATAAAACTAAATTATCGCTAAGTGATTCAAGACTTTAAACACTGTCCACCTAGCGTAGAACTGATTTACATAAATATCTCTTGCTCACTAATACACACTATGCTTCAACTATTGAAATTGTCATAGTTAAGTAACTGTTGAACAACAGATATTGATAACATTTTGACGATTAGACATGTAAACGATCATTTATCAGTTACCTTGTTTCACGCCTTAATTCCAGAAAATTACTTTTACTTATAGTCAAATTCATGCACCGAAGCAACCATACAACAGTCTATCTCACTATACAACCCAAAACATTCTCGATTGAAACACAAACTTAAGAAACAATAATGGAACCAAAACGAAGTTTGCCTTAATTTCTCTTTTTACAGTAATTGTGTAATAAAAATAACTAAACAAACCACTGAATGGCAATACAATAACAGCCAATGCTTATTTGAACATGTAGCTTGTGAATTTATGGTTTTGTTTGTGAACAAAATCTGTGATATAACAATGTCGATAGATTTTCTGATGAAGCATTATCAGTTGGCGAGCTGAATAAAAACCGTTAACAATTTCCCATTTAGTTTTAGGCTACATCAATTACCTTGCCAGTAATTTGTAAAAGAATAAATCTTCACTTATCTATAATATTAGGATATAATATTGCTAAGCTTATAGGTTCATAAAAGTAGGTTAAGCCTTCTCCAACAAAATCACTAAGCTAAGTAATTAAGAAGAAGCACAGGCGGCAAGCTGTAAGCTTCATCTATTATTTTCTGACGTCTAGAGATGCAATCCATATGCTTAAATAAAAGGCGAACGACGGTTAAATATGTCACCTTGTAATAAAGTCAATTAAGTATACGACGGCATCGTAACAGTCAATCTGATAACATGTGAAAGTAATTCAGTAAATGTCAAGGAGAAAAAATCGTTTCCAAACTACATAAGAAATTTTCTATAATATACGAAATTAACCATGATCGTGTGTCACTGTGCGCTACACCAAATCAACAAATTTTTAGTATAGAATTATACTTTACCACAGTATCCAAGTTTGGCACTATTGTAAAGTACAATTGAAACTTCAACAAGGATATCGAAGAATCAATACACTTTGTACAACTATATAATTAGACTGGTCACATTAAAACAAAACTTTTACAATTACTAATTTCAACAAAAGCGATATTCCCTTCTCACCAATGATAAGCTTATACAAGCTAATATTTTACAACAAATGAAGATAAAGATGGAAAACAAAATTCAGTATAAAAATGAAACCTTTATTATACTGTAACGACAAAACATTACAAAAATGAAGATAACCCTGAGCTAGTTAATTTAAACTTTCAGTGATATATTGGAAAAAGAACCATATCCACATCAACACAATTGTGAATGAAAACTGAAGCGATAGAAACACAAAGAAAAGTAGTAAAAACAAAAAAGAAGAGATGAGAGTGTACGCAATGAATCCCAATGCAGCATATGTAGACAACTTTCTGTATTACACAGCATCTAAACGCTTAGTGACAGTGTAATCTGGAGAATCAGGATGTAGTAGGCCAGATTTTTCTACATCTAGTACTTTTGGAACAGATGATTGTTGTTCAGCTTGTTTTTTCATTGCATACTGTTCTTGTTCTGTATAACGCTTCAACATCGCTTGTACAATCTCCTGTGTAATTAAACTTCCAGCATTTAGACGCATCATTTGTAATAGAAAACTACCATCCAATCGAAGGAAAGTCATCTCAAATCTAGCAAGTAATGGATCCATTGATTCTTCATACACATCTGCAATCTTTAAATATCGAATCAAAAGTCTCAGTCGTGATTGTCGTGCGGCTAGACGATAAATCCAAACACCAACACTTGCTACCTCCAATGAAGCAACAAATACAAACCAAAACCATAAAAACACATAGATTTTCTCATTTAGCATATTAACTGGGAGTGTACACTGTACAGTAACCATTGGTATAGGAGTGCTTGTTAATTTGATTGGCACACGACAAAAACCAACACGAGGAAAAACACTGGTTTCATTCCAATGCCTACCCATGATCAAATCATTTAAAATCGATATACCAAACAGCCGATATTCTCCATTAATACCCAGAAACCGTTCCATTAGTAAAAGCTGACCAACTGAATTAAAGAGATACAACAGCTTGATTATCATGTAATAAGTAACTAAGGCAGTGCCTAATCTTTTTCGAGGAAACAAACCTTGAACAGTATGCAATAATTTTGTTGTGAATTTTTCAACTTTAACATTATTTGATTTACGTAAGTCACGACGAGCGAATAACAATGTATCCATCACATTTGCTATAAATTGAACACGATTAGATCTTTCCTTTCCAGTCTCCTTTGAAGCTGCTTGAGCTGATTCAACCAGGAATCCTAAATTAGTTCCAACACGATTAAAAGTGATTGCTTCCCAAATAAGGCGAGGTAAATAGCAAAGAATTGCTTGCAATGCTAAAACCAATGATACCCATTGATAGTAATCTAAAAAGTAGTAGTTAAAACAAACAAGTGAAAACAATAAAATCGTTACCAAGGGAAAATCCAGAAGATGCTATATAATCTTTAGGGTTAATACACCACTGTGAACAATTCAGTCTCACAGAGTGGATAAGAAAAACAAAGGTATAAGCCTATTGAATAATAATTAACCAATCCTCAACAATAAACAGATATGCATAAGATGTAATGATGGCAGTCAGATAAACAGAAATTATTGACATGAAACTTGATATTTTTGTCTATCCGTTCAAGTTGACAAAATTTATAGCAACCAACAAGGTAGGATGTAACAATAGCAAAGACAAAGAAATAAGAATAACTACATCAGCAGTGATATAATATATGCATAAGACAACAATAATAGTAGTAACAAGGTAACTGAACATACCTCTCAATAAAGAGGAAAGCGAAAGTGAACACCAACCAACCGTAATAATGGTGCCTATGAAACCTGAACATTTATAAAATATGATTACTACCTTAGGCTAAACAAGTGCCATATATATATGAATAAGCTACATGAATCTTTCTTCTAGCAGGCTACTTACGAAACTTACAGTCTCAACGCACATCATACATTGTTCATAGTTGTATCACCTATGAACTTAAAATGAGAAATTCAAAGTCTTATTCACCACATAAGTTGGAGAAACACTGAAAACTTGAGAGTGCTAGACAGCTAATTCGTCCTAGTATGAGACTCCCCTCTCAATGTCTTAAGTATGAACCGTTGAGGAATACCACGGTTTTCTAACTGATGTCGACTCATGATGAATACTTGTTTGAAAATTTTAAATCCCACAAACCTTCTAAGTGAAGTAAAAAATGAGTATGTCACTTTGGAAGCAAATAGAACACATCAGTTTATTATGATTTGCCTGAAGAAGGTAAAACAATTCGAAGTTCTGATGCTGCATCGATAGAAACATTTATTACGAAAGTAGTATCACTTCCTACCATTATATAACCTCCGTTAGTCAAAATGAGGCCTAGTATTACTACGTACGTAGCAGACCAAGTTGAAACACCTCACATCACCAAATCAAGAGAGAAGGCACAAAGATAAAGGTTAGAGAAGTAAAGAAGAAAGTAGTCAAATGTAGCACAAAGCCATGCAAAGAGAATGTGAGAGAATGAGACAGTAGTGAAATGCGGTGTGACGATGAAGATGTGTAGATAACATATACTGACACCGAGTCCCAGAGATATCACCTAGAGTTTCCAACCGCCGACTTTGTTTAGTATACAGTCCAACCAAGAAGTCTACATTTCTTCAAGCGGCTAACATCAAGTCAAAGACTTCGTGAACCGATACGACGTTTTAGTCTAACAGTCTTCAAACTTTCCTCAACTTGAACCCATTTCAAGCTAAAACTGAGCAATGCAGCCGACGGTGACTAGGCATGCGTAGCACATATCTCAGTCACCTGAATCAATGAAGGTTCACAACAACATCAGCAGACTTCCCCCTCTGCTGAAAACTCTACGTCTGACGTCTACGTTACTGATGTGGAAGTACCACGACATACCCTACGTTACGAAGGCAACAGTGGTCAAACACCTGAAGCCCTTTCAAATCGTCTACATTCAGTGATCGTGTTTCCCACTCACACATTAGAAAAGAGCGAGCTGCAGTACAACACACTGAGGTATTATTAGGCAATCGTATATCACAGCAGCACCACGAATTGAGTAAGTTGATGAAAGCGAATAGATCCTTATGCATCCATGAAGAGATTTCATCGGTCACTGACCCACCAGAGCTGATCCGAATTGCCACGAAAGTTAACTGGTCACTATGCCCATCTACTTCACTCCTGATAGTCATACACACACGTAGACAAATCTTGCAGCTAAAATTTGCATTCGTGTGATAAGAAACTGTTGTATTCCTAATCAGCTAAAATGAGAGTAACAACCAATCAATCACTTGTCAGTCTTTTGTTCTTATACTTTGACATTCGATTGCACTTTCAAGACCTTGTACATTTTCCAGAGAAAGAAATCACATTTGAAAACTGGTTTCATTGGTTCGAGGATATATTTAAATTTGATTTGACAAAATTTGATGAATGCTGCTCGAGTAAGATTTCTACCATGCAAATTGGGAACTAAATATGAACGTTATTGCAGCTTTATTTTCCCAAAACGTGCGAGAGATATAGATTTCAATGAAACTATCTTAACCTGAGTTAACCAAGAATGTGAAAATTTTTAGCTGAGATTATTAACTGAAGAACATTTTAAATGTCTAATATTCGTTTGAACATTCTAACTAGCCTTGGTTTTCAAATTGCCTCCGCTTTCATGTACTTTTTTCTTTGTTAACTGGAACATATGCACCTGTGTGTACCTGTCATAGATGCCTCAGCCACGTGAATCATTGAAGGTTTGCAACCTCATCAACTGATTTGCCCCTTCAGCCTAAAACTTTATCCCTGACTTCCACATTACGTGGTCTTTACATGATACGCAGTGAGTACTGCAAAAGCTTCAAATTTACTGTCTTTAGTTGACCATCATCGTTACATCGTTGTCTCAGAATTTCGTTTTCTGTGCTTTTTGTGTACATTCAATACCTAACCAGCTGAAGAGTTGTGTTAATTCAAGCATAACATGAGATTCCACCAACTTATCAACTAATTGTCACTGGTTACCATGTTGCCCAGTTTTATGCATTATTTAATTGGTATGCTCACTTTTGACAATGAGACGTTGGCAACTTCAATTTCTCAGTATAGTCCTTAATTAGTGCAGCGAAGGAGGGTAAGTTTTTGCAGTGAAGATTGCTTATTCCACTTGGAGAAAAAATGGTAGATCACACTGTTTATACGCACTTACAATACCCTTAGGATTAACAGGACAAACAACACATACAAAATGTAAGTGTAGCCAGTTGGGTAAAAAGAAGTGATGTCAAGAGAAGGAAGTGATTCATACATGATACGTAAAAGAGAGTGATTAAAAAAGGACAGATCGAACTACACAAGATAATTTACGAAAATACTTGAATATTTCTATCGAATTCTTGTGAGAAATCGGTAGAGTTGCCCCCTGCATATGCAACAGTGATCACTGAGACAGTGAATGGTTCAGCTTTATACGAAATTACGAACTAGCATGTTGAAGTAGCTTACTGCTAACGATTCAGCCTTATTAACCTATTGGTTTGGAGTAGAATTCTTACTCATTAGTTCTTTGGGCAAACTTTTGATGGTTTACTTTGGTACAGATTACTGTAGTGTGTTTATTCTTCAGAAAATTAGTAGGCGTATAAAATGCATTCATTCATCAGAAAGGCTTATTTTTTATCTGTAGACATTTCAACTGAACCCTTTGAACATACCCGCATTATAAAATGTGATATTTCACTTTTTCTGCGTATCAACAATTTTCATTGTTTCTTCGTCGTTTATGTTGTCAAGTCAATAATTTCAGTATGCAAACTCAAGGCTACCCACAACCTTAGTATATGTTATAAATATACTTTTAACTGAATAAATGTTAGTCTCATACTGGTGATTCATCACTGTAATGAATTTAACATAGTTGATAATTACTCAGAACACTACGTTTATTGACTCACTAAACTCAGATGGTAACGTTTCACACGTTTCCGGATTGAATGGCAGTCGATAGGAATGGTAAACTGACTAGTGACTTGTTATCATCATATGGAATGAAATTCATAATGTCTTCGGGATGGTGATTGAAGTTAAAATGAGAGTTTGGTTAGTGGCAGGATTCAGACTAGTGGCCTGTGAACTACCTATCCTACGTTAGTTTTCAACTTCAATCCTTACCATTATCACTTTGTGCATTAGGACCAGTTTACAAAGTAAGACTGTCAGCAGTCTATCAGTTTTTCTCCCTTCCTAATCCAACATATTTCGTCGTAGTCGAGGCATGGCTGGGCAACTACTATTGTGACGGCAAACAGATACTTTGGGTCATTTACTCCCTTGATAGTCGGGCAAAACGTCTAATGTTTAAAGTGAAATTAGGATGTGCGTAACAGTCAAATCTCGTAGTTTAGTCAGGAGAGCTCTGACCCAACAATCTGGAGATCTCCATTTTGAGTCCTGACACTAATCAGTTATCAGTTTCAATCCAGTCATCATCCCGAAACATTAAACCAATCTGTCACTAAATGTTATCACAGAATATTATGAGCAAACATACTTATATGTAAAAATATAACCGTCAACAGGCGTTATTACAAAGCGCTCGAGATATAATACCATGGTGCCGAAGATCATTGCATATCCGATGTGCCTGGGTCTTTAGGCATTAGGCTGGATTTCCGACCATGAGGATAGTATGATTGTACTGTTGTAGAGACTAAACTAAATGTCTGCATAGAGTTGATGTTATGAAAGTGTTTTTTACTCCACCAAGTCGACAAATGAAAACGTCTCAGAAGTGTGAGTGTTAGAAGTTACCAGGTTATTTTTATGTTGGAAGGGAAATTTTATATTAAAATTTTAGTAGGGTGATTGTACATACTTTTGTATGATTTGTTGGTGGAATACTTTAAAAAGAACTGTTAGATAACTGTAGACAACAAGATCTTCCTCCAAAAGGATTTTTTCTGAGGAAAAGGTGGGATAGAATATTCTCCAACTGCAACGAACTCCAATATTCTATTCCAGTGTGTTGAAGGGAGATACTTATATCAATCACGCTAACTCTGCCTTTTATTACATCGGTTACAACTGTATTATTGTCCTGGTAAAAACAATATGCACTAGTAGGATGTATATTTGTCTATTCATTGCTTAGCAATGGAAATGAAACGTTTTACTGGTTACCAATGTTTTACTAATTACAGAAGGATCTGTAAACAGTATGTGTAAACCCGAATTATTACAGTCTATTCAGTCGGATAATCCAAGTAAAAGGGTTCAACTACAATTATTTAGCCAGTATTATCAAAAATAATATCACTCTTACACGATTACTATAACATGTAACAATGCTTTTTAACTGTTTTGAACAAAATTAAGGGCGACCGATATAAAATCTATCAAAACCTTAAGTAGATCACGTACATGCACGCACTGACAACTTTAAATTCATAAATCATGTGCATACTAAAACAGCGACATACACTTGTTTAGATAATTGTGTTACTGTGAGTTCACAATTTGTCTAGATATAAAAAGGACAAGCATAAATAGTTAGACTTCGTTCGATACTGTGAATTTTGATAAACATATTATTTTTATCTAGTTAAATGATAGAGAAAAGGAAGTATGTTTCCATTTATTACGTACGTCAATGCCGTTGTCGACACTACTATTATCGATTGTGTTTCCAACATCTTACAATTTAGTTTAGGATTATTTGGGTCGTTTCTCATTATCATTTGACGAGAAACTACTCTACGGTATGTGCTTAGCACCACTGAAGTGCAAAGTACTTTTGCAATATTAGCAAGAGCCTGTGCCTGCTCTCACCCTTGCTGGTGAGTAGTCGAAAACGTTAACGTACCTAGGTAGTGTTGGTGGTGTGTGATGAAATTTCCAACCGTATGTCGAAATCCAGAGTTGCATACGCCAATCTGGGCCATCTCTGGCGACGTTAGTCTAACCGTAAAAAGTCGGGTTTACAACGCTTCAGTTCGAGCAGTTCTGCTCTACGCCTGTTAAACCTGGCCTCTTCGAGCTGATGATGTATCACGACTCTCTGTTCGACCATCGTTGTCTCTGTAGAATTGCTCGTACCCGGTGGCAACACCATGTAGGTGATTCTGAGGTACGACAGCGTGTGTTTGGGTATGATGGAGATCGTCATTCAATAAGTGAAGTCATCTGGAAACACCGGTTTCGGTGGCTTGGATATATGTTACGCATGTCGTTCTAACGGCTTCCACGCCGTTCATTGTTTGGCAACCCTGGGACTGGATGGATGAAGCAGAGAGGTGGTCAGTGTATGACGTGGTGCCGTGGGATAAGGATAGTTGTATCGGTTTAGCATCTGTTGGTGCATCATGATTCCGTGGATGGAGTCCGAGAGACCACGCAACTAAGTATCTTGAGACGCATACTATATGAATATCACCTATCTGTAGCCATCGTTGGTTTGACTGTGAATTTATCACTATAACAGAGCTAAATGTAAAGCTATACTCTCAGTGTACTCAGAAACGTTGTTTATTTTTTGAAAAGAGTATCGAAAAGAGGCAATGACAAGGCTATATGACGGTAGTTTAAGAAATTTTGACCAGATTTAGAGTAGTTTCACAAGTATTGACCGATGACTAGAAAGTTGGCATTATTCAGGTATCTGTATAAATCTAAGCGTGTTTGGAATGAATTTATTTTATCTGGTATCATATAAGCATAGTCTGTTAGCCCAACTCCGTATCAATGAATTATATACTCATGTTTGAGGTTTGTGATGCTTCATTCATTTCAAGTTGGTATTTATCAAGGACTGACATCAGTTGATGAACCACTGAAGACCTAAAAGCACTGGACAGCTGTTTCGTCTGAATATGAGATTTCCCAGTAGTGCTTAGTAGTGACTTGCTTCGAGATGAGATTTCCTGAACTCCTAATGAGAAGTTATAAACAGAGAGGCAAGCCATGTCGGACGTGAGGAGATACTCAGTGACGGCATTGGATGAGGGTCATGCTTTATAGTGAACTGGAAGAAGTAGGAAATTATGGATTCCGATGCAGTATCTCAGTCGTAACGGGCTAGTAGCGAAACCTGAATTTATCGGCTTCGGTCCCCGTCGAGGTCATAGGTGCGCACTGCCGAGGAGCCCCATGCTAGAATGAAACAGCTATTGAATGCTTCTAAGTTTTCAATGACTCCCCAATTGATTTCAGTCTGTGGTGAATATCAACTTGGAACTAGATATTGTTAAAATATTCACATATAATCGGAAACGTGAAGCGTATACGCCAGCTAAAAGATATAATTACATATGCTGCAACCACAATGTTGATTGACGCGATTGAATGACTTGTAGGTCGGTATGAAAGGATATGCTACCTCACATAGCTGCCTTTAAAACCTATTCCGCAATTTCCAACTAGAAAACAAGACCACATATCAGTTGCTGCTTATTTACTATTTGTAGAAAAGCCAGTAACCATTCAAAAGTGAAGCTTGGAGTAAAATTACTAACCAGTATCACGTTATCAAATGGAAATTAGAACCTCTTGAGGGTTTAGTTGATTTAAGCGTTGCTAGACACTTGCGTTTGTTTGATACATAACTCTTCGAAGGCGTGTTCGTCAGTTGATGGAGTTAACATATTCAGATCCCCACCGGATTTTAGCCAGCTACTTTGACGAACAGTACAAAACACTTAGACTGGGATCCCATAACCAAATGAAACTCAGTTTAAAAAATTCCTTAATTTCATTTAAATTTCAACTAGGAGTGTAACCTCCAACTCGGTGTGATTTTATGCTGCAGAAAACTAAACAAAATCAACCACGAACCAACATTTTTTATGGGATAAAAATATGTGCAAATTATTTCAACCCACAGTAAAAGAAAACGGAGCTTACTGATTTTCTTGTCTTCTAAACTATTCCAATATTTCTGATTATCCAACTGGTCTGTATCAACACTAATTGGTGTTGTTCCATTAATCCAACAAAATGCATTAATATATGCTCCTAAATTTGAACCAGAAAATGTAGTCGGAACATAACATGACAATGGTTCGAAGACATACGATTTCAGTGTAACAATAGTGAAACACATAACCAGAATAACAAATGACAGCATGTAAGAGCATCGATCTGCGAAATCATCTAACCCGACAGAATCGACAAAGTGAAGTTTTTCCAGTTGAGAAATAAATTCCAATGCAACCATTTTGATCGCTACGAAAGTATAAAAAAAGAGAATGAAGGTAAAACTTCAGGTTAGAGAAGTAAGCTACACTCAATATCAAGAACAAAACAAAAGCAGCTGTATACAACTGAATAAAAACTCTTGCAGTAGGCTGTGAGTTTTGTTCACTATATAGTAACTAGATACCATAAATCGGATGATGTGGATTAGGATTCGAACCTATGACTCAATGCTGAAGAGCTAACTAGATCACTAGATCACAGATCCACAACTGAAGAATACTGTAGAGTGTAAAACCAGTAATATCTCGAGTCAGAACTATGCAATACCAATCTAATACCTTAGTGCTATGTAGGGGAACAACTAATTTCTTCGTCAGAGTAAACAATATTAAGTGAATTCACGTCTTTCCTTCATCACAACAAAAAAGTAAGATACTTCTCAAGATCTAAAAACATCAGTGAGGACATTTCATTGGTATACATCATTAAGTAATGCATGTATAAATGGGCATCAGGAACTTGGATGACGCAGTACGGTCTAGTTCGACTCAATCACATAAAGAAAGAAATTCTGAGGTTTGTGGGGATTTATTTATTGATCTCAGATTGGTATTCATCATGAACTGACATCAGTTGGAGAAACATTGGAAACCTGAGAGCATTAGACGGCAGCTTTGTTCTGGTATGGGACTCCTCAGAAGTGCGCACCTAGGTATCGTGAACTGACAGAAGTAAGAAATATGGACTATTGGATTCCGACCCCGTGGCTCGATGGTGACATACTGGCTACGGGAATTGAAGGTCCTGGGTCATATGTGTGCACTGCTGAGGAGTCCCACGCTAGGACGAAAGTTGTTCAATGCTCTCAGGTTTTCAATGTTTCTCTAACTGATGTCGATGCATAATGTATACCAACCTGAAATCAATAAAAGCAGCTCGTCTCACAACTTTACGCTGACAGGTTGAAAATGTGTAAAGTACTTAAACTATTTGTTTCTAACTTGTATATAAGATAGTAACCGTCCGACGCCCGCAATATCAACTCAACATATAGACAAATCAACCTTCCAAAAAAATTGCATCAGCTCAAGTTACCACACTTCATATCCATTCAAAGCATATTCGAAAGCCAATGAAGATATAAAAAACCCAGATAATTACAACACTACAGAACCATTAAGCAGTTTATATTAGAGTATAGTAAGGAGTTGCTTGAGTGCGAAATGTCCTACTGCACTATAAATTCACAAACCTACTGAAGAGAATATTTCTTAATAAATATTTTCAGAAAGAAAAAAATCCAATACAGTTACGTAACACTTCTCACATAATTGATGTCGATATTCCAAACTTATATCCAGCAACAATGAAAACCAGTTTTCACAGCTACATACATAAAAAAAATTACCAAACTTTAGTATATACCCGTGAAGCCGTTAAAAATGTATGAGGAACTCGGAACAAACAGATTTCCTAATCTAATGTAAAAATAATAGCGTCTGAATTTATAATTTTATGGCCGGTAATAATAATAGTAGTGTAGCGGGCGCTGCTGATAAGAATGAATATAAGCAGTATATGTTGAGAGGTAGGCAGAAATCATAAGGAACTACCAGCAATGGGTAAAGATTCTGTCAAGAGAAACCCAAGAGACAACGCTGGCATATGAAGAGCAAATCAAGAGAGAAGTAGAAAAGGAAATAAAGCACATTTTGCGAATGAGTCTTAGTGCAAGTTGTACCATATTTAACGACTACTGTACCACTTGTTAACAATAAACATTCCTTCCTTCGTCTATGTCTTCTCGTTTCCTTCAGTAGTAATAATGATCACTTTATTCCAGACAATAACTTTGAGTACATTTTGATATTTCAACAAGTTTCCTTCTTGTACAATATTTTCAGGTCAAAAAACCATGGCAGTTAAATAATGTTAATAATAACAGTAATGATAGGCTGCAATGCACAACAACTAGCAGTTTTGAGATCATCAACAAGTTTTTATATGTTGTTGTAAGTAGGTCGGATAGAAAAGCACAAGTTTGGTGGTGAAGGTTCCTTCATCCAGTAGGAAAATTTGCTGCTCCAGCTACTTGCTCCTCTAATAGCTATATATGATGCACTGTTGTGCGTTCAGGCGCCAACTGCCGTTTACTGTGATATTTTCCTGTGGACTTGTTGTTAACCCGTCTAACGATGGGTCGTTTGCGAAAGTATGTTTTACGATTAGTTGACATTGGAATAGTTAAAGCAAAAGGGAAAAGAAACAATTTGATGAGATAGATTCGAGGAAATACTTCTGGTAGCTTAAATTTTAATCTGGCCGCCACCCTTAGCAAGATGCAAACAATAACCAAGTTAGTGGATTATTTCCCTACAAAAATCACATGCTAATTTCCATTAGTCAACCAATTGATGATAATGACATAGAATGGAAACCATTCTCAAAATAATTAGCATTGATCATGTGAATATGCAACCTATGCTGCAATAATACCCAATAGGTACATTCACTTTAAAAGTAATAAAATAAGACCCACACGAGTCATGGTAGATAATCGACTATTCTGATAGAGGATAATTAACGACTTTCAATAAGTGGATAGTACCTTCCTTCTAACTACATCATTCGAACGGTTAAGCAGAGAACCGGATATAACTGACACGTGATTCTTCCAAATACATCTCCACCACATTTCCAATGAAATATTATTACACATCGGTAACTGTACCGATACCTGAAAAGTCCATGAACCATACTGAGGTTGAACATTACTGTTCAGCAGCTTAAAGTACATTAGATGAAGGTGATTTGAAACAATGGACAGAAAACCAATTTCCTAAAATACTGACCCAAAGTTTTCAGATACTGATATGCAGACCGGAAATTAGAAAATCCCAATGTATTCAGAAGAGAGAAATAGGTAGGGACGGAAACAGTAACCTCATGATTACCAGATGAAAACTATTTAAGTTTAGAAATGCTCAACTTCCGAAGACAAACAAAAATTATCAAAATGGGATCTGAAATTACTGCGCAAACGGTTCAAGTTAGCACACCACCATCAGCAAAAAGGTATTTAACAACAAGAACGGCAATGAAGTTAGAAGAATAATATAAGAAATGTTAAAGAGAATCACAAGATACAAAAAAAGAGATAACGACTTATGGAATCATGACTTCTATTAAAACGAGGTATCAGTGAACCAACAACTTCGCCCGGTTAACCAGTTCACTAGTTACTAGCCAGTCCTAAACCCCGGTAAACAGGGAAGGTTGGGCATACGACTAGCAACCCTACCACGCAAAACAAATCCAATCACCAAACAAACTTCAAAGCACAAACAAAATATTATACATCAAAACAATATTGTTCCTCAGCGGAATACGAGAGACAAAATGACACCAGTCGGTGAAAGCCTTCCTTCGGGAAGCCAATTGGCAGGCCCATGTGTCTTCTCTCTCTCGATGTAGGCGAAAGTAAACATGGGGACATGGAATGCCCGCACGATGTTTGAACCCAGCAAGGCTGCACAGATTGCAAACGAGATGAGAAGGTATCACATTGAAGTGTTAGGAATTGCGGAAGCAGATGCAATGGAAGTGGACTCTCCAAACTGTCAACTGGAGACGACTCAATAATCTACTCAGATATTGTCACACAGACGACAACCACAAACACACTGAGTTTTCGAGTGGCTATCATCATGTCCCCATCAGCATCCAAGGCTATCTCTCTCTCTCTCTCTTTCGTGTAGTGGGAACCAATCTAATCTTGCAGGATCATGACAGCAAGGTTCAACTCAAAGGGAAGCAAAGTCACCATTATAATACAATGCTAAGCTACACTACACTACACTACACTACACTACAATACACTACACTACACTACACCACGCTACACTACACTACGCACCTACAAACAATTAACCAGATGAAGAGAAGAAGGAGAAATTATACAGACAACTGCAATCAACACTCAACAAGCCCCACCTCACTTGGCAACATCAAACTTCTAATGGGTGGAGTGACATGAATGCCAAACTGGGAGCAGACAACACAGCAACACAACTCATCATAATGGGTAGAGAAACACTCGGTGAAGTGATGAATGAGAATGGAGAATTGTTTGCAGAATTCTGTGCATTCAACAATTTGGTGATTGCAGTCAGGCAGTGTCTTCAACCACAAGGATATCCACAAAGCGACATGGATTCCAGTTCACCAGACACCACACAAGGACACACTACACTAAAAATCAGATCGACTTCATCTCAATGTGAAGAGAGTGGAGACACAGTCGGCCTACTTGACACAAGGTCGAGAAGAGGAACACATGTAGGTTGACACCACTCACTGTCTACTGCAACCAACCTAACTTCAAAATCAAGTTGAAAGCCTTCAAGGAAGTTGGTGATGATGGACCAGAGTGGAAGTTGAACACTCAGAACAGAAAGTGAATTGAAGGACGAAACTACAAATGACATGTTCACTTGGTCAGTCATCAGGACAAAATGTGAGACATCAGGTGACTAACATCCCTGAAGAAAGCTGTGTGGACGAACACTGGAACTCTTTGATAGCACATGGAAAGAAACCTGCATAACCGTATTAGGAAGGGAAAAGAAAGTAGATAAAGGAATGAAATGGATCTCGATGAACACATACAAGCTGATAGACGAGGGAGAGGAGGATGGTGAAGCAGAAGATAAACCAGTACAAGGATGCACAACGACAAGAGGAACTGGGTACAATGTATAAAACACTACACTGGACAAAGAAATGAAGAAGAGTGCGTCGAGAGACAAGAGACACTTTTACCACACACTGGCAAGTGAAGCAGAATAGGCTGAGGGCTCGTAGGAGAGACAGATAGACAGACAGACAGACCTGACAACATTGTATCAAATAACCAGGTTACTATCCATCTGGGAAGAGATCAACACGGCACAGATGAAACCTATAAAACATGATGAAAGAGAGCTAGTCACCAAAAACGAGAAACAAAGGAAACGATGGGCTGGCCA